CAAAGAATAAACACTTTGTTCGTTCCTTATCACATGCTTAAAGTGTTTGTACTATCAACTATTCTTGGTTGTGTTCATATGAGTTCTAATTCATTATATCTTTTTGTTCTCATTTTTGAAGTCTCGCTTTTTCTCTTATTCCAAATCGTCTGTGTTTCATTCTTATATCTTAAAATTGAAATTGAACCTGAATTTCAATTGCTATTTTGAAAACGTGTTTGATTTTTCACTTGGAAATCAAACTTGTTATTATTTGAAATCGAAAGCAAGAATTGATGGAATTGGAATTGAATATTTATTGTAATGAATACCGATCGATGTGAACTAATTTCGAAATCAAAATTTTGATTTTGGACTCGATTGTTTTGATTTCGTGAATGGATAGCAACCATCGATTGTTATGATTTCGAACACTGGTTTGTCTGAAATTAAATTGGAAGATTAGAGTTGATTTTATTTTTTATTAAGGATTGAGAATCGAATGTCTGGTAATGGTGAATGGATTCAAAATCGCTATTGGAAATCAATTTGGCGTTCATTGATAATTGTTCAAACTAACAAAAGTCAAAATTGGATTTTGGTATAGTGAAAAGCTTTGGAGTCTGGATTCGTTATTGGGATAGATATCGATTTGGTCGATGTCGACAATAGACTGTGTGTTGATTTTTAAAATCATCGACATAACAAATTTGAAGCTTGAAGACGAAACCCTATTTGTTAATGTGCGAATGAATGTTAATTGTCGATGTGCAAAGGATCGATTGTTGATATTGGTTGTTAACCAGTCAAGAGGTCGAATGATGGTCACAGTCTGAAAATCGATATTGAGTTTGACATGTTTGGAGATTATTATTCAAATTTCTTAATTAATTTTGGGAAGTAGATTAAAACAGAATGATTGAGTTACTTGATAGTCGACATCACAGATTTGTGGTTGTTTTGGTTTTGATAGTCGATTTTGGGAAGGATGGTTTGGGAACGCACTGAATAACGAACTCAGATGTTCGTTTGTTGCTTGAAGATGAATTCGACAGTCGAAGCGTAATGTCGATTGCTAACGAATGCTTGTGAATTGAGGTGGTTAAGTGATTGAATGGTCAAGAAATTATTCAGTGATTCGATATGCTTTGTTTTTTTATTTCCCCTATGAATGATTAAGAAGATGCTTTGTTAATCCAATCCTTTAAACTAAAAAGCGAAGCATGTAGATGTTTGGATTCGTTACCTGATTAATAAAGTGAAGAAGAAGATAACCAACAGTTTTGAAACATATCCCTCATCATTTCATGAAATGGCAAAATTTGTCCCGTTTCAAAATGGTGACAAAAGTTGTGAGGAATGGCATAATTTCTCTTTTAGCCCCTGCAGTTTCGACATGTTGGCAGAAAATACCCAACTTCGAAAATGGGCTAAGAAAGCTAAGAAATTGTAGAATTTACAAGTTTAGTCCCTGCAGTTGGTGCTAATTTACACTTTATGCCCAGTTTCTCAAATAGTGTAGAGTTTCGCATCTTAAGCAGTTTTTGGCACAACTTGAGTATTGGTCTTCTTTGAAGTTGAAGCACAACTTTGATGTTATGCATATTGAAAAAAAAAAGTCACTAAAAGTACTTTTGGTACTCTTGTGATGAATGATAAGTCTAAAGACACATCAAATGCTCAGGATGACTTGAAACACTTGAGCATTCAGAAAACTCAATGGTTAGGAAAAACGGGTAACAAGTTCCTTAAACCCATCCATCTTACTCGTTCATGAAAACTAATCAAAATTGTTTTTGTTGGTTTCTAAAGGATGTTAAACTATCAGATGTGTTTGGATCTAACATCAATAAGAAAGTGAATGATAACAATACCAACATTATCGGGCTAAAATCTCATAACTATGACATTCTTATGCAACTTTTGATATTTAATGGATTTAAAGGGATTTTGTCCAAAGACATCAGTAAGAAAGTGAATGATAACAACCAACTTTGATCATAAGGGTCCGCTTTCAGGGAGAGAGATGTCATGAAGAGAACCCAAATGAACAAAGTCCCAATGAGAATGATTTTTTTGAAATCTTTGAATGACAGCTAGATAGTAACACCAACCCCACAATCGAAGAGTCTGAAACTAAGGAAATTGAAGTCACCGAAGAACCAATTATCGAAATGGAGCATAATCAAGTGATCGAAGATACTAAAAAAACTGATAATACAATGTCAGATGTGTATTTTTGTAGGAAATGAACAAGGAAATGATGATATCTCAGACCTAGAAGAGGAATATGTCGATCTTGAAACAGGAGGTGTGCAGAGATACCCCATAAGAAGCAATCAGGGGAAACCAAAGAAGCAATATCAACCAGACGTGAAGGCAAGAGGAAAATATGCAATCATTAACTATGTTTCTTAACATAGGTTAGCAAAACCACATGCATTTTTGGTAGAGAATTTACCTATTATCTCCATTCTGAATAATGTACAAGAAACCTTAAGTGATGAAAGGTGGAAGGATGCAATGAATGAGGAAATGAAGGCACTTCAAAAGAATCAGACATGGGAACTGGTGAGACTTCCTAGTGGAAAGAAGATTGTAGGGTGTAGGTGGATTTACACTGTCAAGTTGGACTCAAACGAGAACATTGACAAGTATATGGCCAGACTAGTAGCAAGGGGGTATACTTACAAAATCATGGAATAGATTATGGTGACACATTTGCTCTAGTGGAAAGAGTTAATACCATTAGAATTCTTGTTTCCATTGCTGCAAATGAAGACTAGCCCTTTAAGCAATTTGATGAAAAGAATGCTTTCCTCAACAGATATCTTGAAGAAGAAGTCTATATGGATCCTCCACCGGGTATTAAATGTGAAGGGAAGGTGTGCAAGCTAAGGAAGGCCCTGTATGGACTGAAACAATCATTACGTGCGTGGTTTGGAAGGTTTTCAACATTTATGAGGAAACTTGAATATAAGCAAAGTGATGCTGATCACACTTTATTTGTGAAGTCGAAAAATAGGAAGGTGACAGCCCTAATTGTTTATGATGATGAAGTAGTAGTGACATGAAATGATAATGTTGAAATGAAGGATCTCCAATGAGTGTTGTCCACTGAATTCGATTTGAAGGATCTAGGAAGTTTGAAATAGTTCCTAGGGATTAAGGTGGCAAGATCAAAGGTAGGAATATCAATGAATCAAAGGAAGTATGTGTTAGATCTCTTAGCAGAGACTGAGATGTTGAACTGTAAACCAACGGATACCCCTATCGAAACAAATCACCATTTGGAGATACTTCCAAATCAAATTCCTAATAAGAAAGATCGGTATAAGAAGTTAGTGGTAAGCTTATCTACTTATCTCACACGAGACGAGACATGGCTTCTGTTGTGTCTGTAGTTAGGAGGTTCATGCATGCACCAAGCAAAACTCATATGGATGTAGTTTATCGGATCTTGAGATATCTTAAATCATCTCCAAGAAAGGGTATATTTTTTGGAAAAAATCAAGACCACCATGTTAGTGGTTTGACAGATGTGGATTGGGGTGGAGATCGAAGTAATGGGAAGTCAACTTCAGTTTAATTCACCTTTGTGGGTGGTAACTATTGGATTAGGTGTCTAAGTTTATAACTATTTCTGGAATGTACTTGACCCGGTTGGTATGGTCAATTTGGGTTGCATGGCATTGCAACACTTGGATAGACTAAATGGGAGAAATGATACTTAAGGTTTATTAATATATTATTTAATTAATATTGATCAATAATTATTTGGAATTAATTAAGTGATCAAAAAGAGACTAATTAAATATATGGGGTTGATTGTGTAAATCATTCATTCTTGTATAGTGGGCTAATGATCCATGGTTTATTAAATTGGGCTAAAACATATAAGGTGCTCCATGGATAGTCCATGGAGGTTATAAACCCATGGATCATGGAATATGAAAAGTCATGCATATTAGGGTTTACATTGAGTAACCCTACATGTGACACACTATATAAAAAGCACCATGGCTAGCAAAATAGGTGAGTAAGTGAAGAACAAGAGGGCTAGTTGATTTTGAGTGTTAGTAAACTTCTCTCAAAGTTATTCAAAGGGTTTTGGTGTTGTGTGAGACATTTGAGGCATCACACTTAAGGTGTTAGACTCACAAGGTTCTCAAGGAATCCAAGCAACAAAAATGTATGTTCTTCTACTAGCTATTATTTTTCAAAGTTCCCTATCCCATGCTAGTTAGGTTAAGAACCTTGGAAAATCATATTTGCATGTATCTTAGTAAAACATAGATCCAATGTTTCTAGGGTTGCATGTACACCTTAGGATTGTTAGAATGCTCAAAACCCTTCAGTGGTATCAAAGCCTAGGCATGTTTTGTTAATACTTGATGCAAACTTGTTGACAAACTCAAAAATATGGTATCTGCTGAGTGAACTAGTCGAGTCAATGTGGGGGACTCAACAAGTCCATGTGTTAATTCATCCTACTCGTCGAGTAGGCTCTTGCACTCGACGAGTAGGAGGCATCGGATGCAGATTTTCGAGTTTTGCTGTTAATAAAGGACTAGAAACATTACCCTAAATTGTTTTGGTTAGATAGTCGACTTTTAGCTCTTAAAGATATTAGTCGTTAACTTTTTTAATCAGACTGTTCACTTTTAGTTCTCAGGTTCTCGGAAAAAATATATGTTCTCAAATGATCCTTCTTATATATATATATATATATATATATATATATATATATATATATATATATATATATATATAATATTCAAGTATTCAGCTTTTGGTTATTCATTACATCAATACTAATTGTGGAAACGATCCTCCCGTGATGTATAAACAATAATTGAAAATAAATAAATAAATAAATAAAAATAAGGCTACAAATCTTTTATCTACAAAAATATCTATGGGTATAGTGATCATTTCAAGAGAAGAAGATACAATTGAAACAAACAAATTTGGCTACACAGAAACATCTTTGACATTCATAATAATATTGATTGTATGATTCATCTTACGAGTGGCAGAAGAAAGTATTCAGCATAAAAAAGCTGCATTACAAAAATTATAGAAATGCTTTAGCATTAATTATTTCATATAATTAAGCAAAGGGAAGATATTCTTTGTTTTACGTTTGTTATATATGTGCATTTCCTAGGAATAGAACACTACAATCATTCAAATTTGACTTATTAATATGGTCCTTTAGGCCTTTACCAAAAATATCGTTATACCTCTAAGTTCAAAAGTTTATTATAATAGAACAAACTTATATGATCTGATTGATACTCTTTTATGTTATATTCTTTTGCGTAAGTTTATATTCCAATATAATTAATTCACATATATTATACAATATAGAAGAAAAAAAAAACTTGATCGTATAACACCATTTACCTTCCAAAGAAATAAGTACATGGATGATATAGACGATACGCTCTTCAGATCCACTGATTTTGCTCGTATCCAAAGTATCAAACCCAACACCAAATGACCCAAAATCTATCATAAATTAAAAGTAAAAATCATAATATATACATAACTACGTGACAATTCGATGATAATTACGTGACAATGCATGTAATTTTCGGAATATTGATTTTAAAGTTTCTTCACATGAATCGTGCAGTTAAAAACTCTCAGTACGTATTATCCTTTTCGTTTATTTTTTAAATAGTTTTAGTATATTTATTACTTTTATTTTAATTTTTTAGTTCATTTCAAAGCTCTCATTAAGAATCAAAAATAAATTAACTGAAAAACTTTATTATATTCGCAGTATATTAAGGTTGTTAGGTTGTTGAGTTGCTAATAATTAACTAGTTTTATAGCCCTGCCTAATTTCATTCGTTGACCTCGAATAATACCAAACAGTTTTATCAGCATTCGTTCCATTGGGTGTTGTAATTGGCTAGAATGGTGTCAATCACCTTTCAATTAGCCCCCCTGTTTTTCTTTCTTTAAAATTGTATTTTGTTCTACTCTTGGTGCTTTTTAATGCATATTTCTCGGTTCCAAAAAAACAAATGTTTAAGTATTCTATTGTTTAAGGTTAGTTAAGCCTAAACCACTAATTTTAGTAAATTACACGAATGGTCCTTATGGTTTGAGGTAATTTGTACGTTTGGTTTCTAAATTATTTTTTTAACTCGAAAGGTCCCTACGGTTTGTATTTGTTACGTGCTTGGTCCCTACGGTTTGTTTTTGTTACGCACTTGGTCCATATCTTACGTAAAACGACTATTATTTAAATAAGAAAAAAAATAATAGGGTAGGTAAGCTAAGGTGAGTGGGGTGAGGTTGGGTGTGTGTTTACTTAAATAAATTAAAATATCAAGGGTAAAATAATATATTTAGGTAAGACAGGGGTCAAGCGTGTAACAAAAACAAACAGTAAGGACTTTCCGAGTTAAAAAAATAAGTTAGGGACCAAACACACAAATTACCCTAAACCTTAGGGACCATTCGTGTAATTTACTCATTTTATTAATTAATGACACTAGTTTTTTAAACCGTTTACCGTCACATATTTGCTGATCCAGCTAGATGATGAGGTTGCTCCAATCAAAATAGCAACACCATAAGCGATTCCAAGAAACCAAACGCAACTCCAAAACATCTGTAAAATGCCAAATGTGTCACAAACCCGTTTCTTAGTTAGTTATTTTGGAAAATTGATCATTAAAGATCGTAATTATTATGCAAGGAAACGAAATATGTATGTAAAGAGTTATTTTAACCCCAAAAGAACTATGCTTTTTTTTTTTTGTTAAATACTAATTCTTATGGTAACATCATATATGACTATATGAGAAGAATAACTTTATAACACGATACATTTACAATTAGGGCAATATAAACTATAACTTAAACGCTTTACAGTTGGCAACGCCTCATTATTGCAATCATATATATTTCTTGACGATTTTGTTCACTTCTTTTTGTGGCATTTTTCAGTATATTAACTTTGATCGATTCTAAATTATCAACGGATTAGAATTGTCCTTTTACTTGTAGTGCCAAAACCCAAATAATTTGTAACAAGCAAACTCTTTATAAAGAATATGCATATTAACTGAGAGTTATATAACCAACCCGTTCAGGACCGATCTGAGAAGCCAACGACTTGATTCCATGCATCTCATCTCCTTTAATGTCAGGAATGTCCTATCATAAAGAACGAATTCTTAGTTAATAGAATCCATAATCCTTGAATACAAGATAATAATAAAAAATAAAATAAAAACTTTTTAATGTACGATATATATAAAGTCGCATTACAAGGAAGTAGTAGTACGGATCCCTAACCTTAAACAGTATCAAAACAATGGAGAAGACGAAGAGCATGGCAATGGAAAAAAGGTGACGCATTGAGAGGACTACAACTCGTCCCTTAATGGCGTTCTATAAAATCATTAGAACAAATCAGTTTACGTTTATAGGTTATTTAAATATTTTGTTTTTGACAATAGAAGTTGTCGACTAAGGTACCTTCACATGCATGTAATATCCAAGTGGAATGCATAGCGCCCGTGAGTTTATCATGTATAAAACAGCGGTATAAGGAAACCTCTTCCATCGTAAAAGTGGCAACTGAAAGAAATATAATTAAAACATGTTACGAGTTTTCATACTCACTATTGCTAATTTGATTCATATATTTCGATTTTTGAAATATACATTAGATGTTATATAGGTGTAATGGTTTTAGAAAAGTCCCGTATCTTTGGATGAGTGACTGAGATATAAAATAAATGTACTCACCACATTTGCCGAATATGCGGTTCCTATCAAAAACCAAACAAAGAGACCACAAAATAGTGGCCAAGAACGAGAAATCCACGTGATTGAAAAACTCTGCACTCAAAGATACTCCAAGTATAAATTCTCTCATTAATAAAAATGTACGACACAAAATTGTTGTTGTAAAGCCACTTAGTGTTTGATTGAAGGATCTTTCTATAAAACAACTAAGATTGATGAAAAAAATATATTAAAAGGAAGTGGACAAATGTGTTTAATTACCATAATAGCCGATATTAAAGTCACAATGATGGCCGAATTCATGGTTAATTCTCCAGCAGCCAATGGAAGATATGGCTTATTAATCTGAAACATAATATTAATACACCTTTTTATGACACTGAAATGTGGCAAAGAACGAAAATTTTAAGTGGCCTACCTTGTCAATTTCTATATCGCATATTTGATTGAAACCACAAACGTATATTTGCATAAAAATGCCTCCAAAAATTGCCTAGAAAACGCTATATATAAGGTTTGTATTTTTTTTTGAAATAGAGTAAGAATTTTATAAGTTAATCCACAATTACCTGTAGTACTTTTGTATAGAACAATGGCGAGATATCCGAAAGCCTTTCAACAGCTACAAGAGACGTTGAAAGCACGCTTAAAACCTACAAAAATTGAATATTTGAGCCAAATATTGACTAATAACAATGAATTAGGGCATGCTAAAGACCTTGGGTTGTGACTTTTAATTTCTTTTAAACTTCTTTTGAAAAATAAATTTCAACACTTTTATATTTGTTTCTCCTAAACAATCGAAACATTTCCTTAATTAGTGATTCAAACTTAAATTTAGATATTAATCATATAGTAATATTCATATATAGCGTAGTTGTGAGATTAATGATTCAAAGCCAAACTTACTGTCGCCATTGCAGCATAAGGTCTTGAAAACCTGAACAAAATATCCATGGCATGTTTTGCAGATTCTTCATGACCCATCGAGTCCGGAGAACTCTTTGATACAAATGTGTTCGACACAAAACTTGCATTTCGAATATAATTCACATTGTGTGGTCGAAAGAAAACAAAACGTCTGTGAATATATTTTGCATGAAGATTCCATTGGTATTGTTGAATACCAATGGTGGTGTATTGTTTCTTGATTTTACACCTTCCATCTAATAAGCATCGTTCTTCTAGTGAAGGTGAACAGAAAAATCAATTGTCAGTGAAGTATGTGCAAACGTGTTGTTATTGACTTACATTTCGAACTTGTAATTAAAGTAGATTAATGTTACCTGAAGCCACTGGATTATTAGGTGATGGAGCAGTCGCAAGAGATGTAATATAATGAGTTCCCATAACTTTTCTTTCGTTGCACAACTGCTTTAGATGGCTTTAGTACTTATATAGCTAACATATGCCCTTTTTTTTGCTTACAAAGTGTATCTAGGTTTTGCTTTAGTACAGATAATATTTATTATTTAAGATTTCAAACAATATAAGCAACCATTAAAATATTTTCATGATAAAATCAAACACAAATTTTCAATTGTTGAATTTTTAGTGGGTTCGAGATTGGTTAGCTTGGTTAGTTATATGGCTATGTTGCAATGTAATTAAAGTTGTGACCCTTTGTTAGCTTTTTTATTGTTAAAAAATGTAGAAAAAATATGATTAATATACATTTCTCTTTGTTACTTTTCCAAATCGAAAGATATCTCTAGCTAGTTATTAAGTAAAAAAAAATAAAAAAAATAAAAATAAAAAACAGATTGCTAGAGGAAGCTTCCCAAAGTAATAATTTTCTTTAAAATCGTCTGAAACATGATCTTCTTCACGTGTATTTTTGATTTGGTTCATGCTGTTGCTTCCGTCAAAAGATATTTGCAATAAACAGATAACAATTTACGTACCATGAGTTATCTTCGTATAAATTAAGATATAATTAAGTCAAAACTTTCTATAAATGAGTGTAAGTACAGTTTTGTAGATGACTATTAGTTTTCAATGCACGTATACAATTATGATGATATAATATGTATAATAAATTAATATATGACAGTTAATTAATTCTAAGAATTACATTTTCTACTTAAGGTGTGTATTAGTTTTTCAAGTTTTTTTACTATCATATCCTTCGTTACAAGCAACAATTATTTTTAGGAAAAATGATTTGGCAATTGTAACTATTTTTTATAATTTTTTACAAGTTAAATGGTAATATATAATAATACATGTAAATATAAATATACAACTAGAAAACATAGGGTTTTCCTACGGAAAATAGCTACGGAAATTTTCCGTAGCTAATTAGCTACGGAATTGCTACGGATTAGCTACAGAATGAGATGCCCTAATTTAGTAACGGAATAGCTACGGAATAGCTACGAAATAGCTACGGACGTCAATCCGTAGCTATTCCGTAGCTAATTAGCTACGGAATTGCTACGGAATAGCTACATGTGCTAATCCGTAGCTATTCCGTAGCTAATTAGCTACGGAATAGCTACGGATTGTGCCGTAGCTATTGATCAAGTTTTCTAGTAGTGGTAAATATATTTAAAAAGTTAAATGGTAATATATGCAAAAAGATGTCTAAATGCGAACAATTTTTTTATTGTAAATTTAATAAGATTTTTTATAATTTTTACAATATTTTTATGATGTTTTTTTATTAGGTTTTTTTAATATAATATTTTAAACTTTGCATATAAATTTGTTAAACTGTTTAATATTTTCTTATAATTTTAATACCAATGCTGTTAAACCAAATATTTACTATATGATTTAAACTTTTATTAAAAGCTTTTACATTTCTTATTTTATTATTATTATTTTTTACATTTTTATACTTTTTTTTTGCAAATTTCATACAATTATTTCTAAACATTCTTTTAAAATATTTTTAACAATTTTGTATGACAATTTAATACTCTAATAATTGCCAAAAATTGGTCAAAGTTTTGGTGATTTGTTTCACTAATGCGTTTTAAGTGTAATGAGATTATTTTTGTTGACCAAAAGTGATCTTGATAAATATTAAACAAGTAAAGAAAGTGTGGAGTGCACACTTGTTTAAGTTTATTCAAGATTAAAAATAGACTGTCATTTAGGGATGAAGCCCCTGAACGAACGGGGGTCTGGGGGTAGCACCCCTGGGAGCGGGGTCCAAGGGGCGGCAGCCATTGGCGGGGTCCAAGGGGCAGAACCCCTGGCTGGGATTGAGTTGTTTTTGACTTGGTATTAATTCTTATAGAAAACCCGAAATTATGATAGTTTGTTGACTGTTGCCAAACTGTTTTATGACAGTTTTCAGACTAAGAAGGTATTTAACCTATTTTGGTCAGTTTTTTCTGGTACTTACAAAAATTTATACACTCATTCTCTGTTCTTTTCCCTTCCGAGTCTTATCCAATCAAAAATTAGGGAGTACCACCCAATACTTTGATTTGATAGTGAAATCACAATTCTCAGAATTTCCAAGGCTATTTTATCCCTATTATCTTACAAAATCAAAGTATTCTGTGATCATGGCAAGTGGTGATTCTGTGAAGGAAATGACAAGTAAGTTTGAAAAACTGAACAAGTTTGTAGGACAAGATTTTCGTAGATGGCAGAAGAAGATGAAGTTTCTCCTTACCACTCTGAAAGTGGTGTATGTTCTGAGTACACCCATACCAGTCTTTCCAGAATCTGTTGAAGATGAACCTTTGGACGCAACAAGAAGCAGATCAAAGTGGGAAAATGATGACTATATATGTCATGGTCATATTCTCAATGGTATGTCTGACTCTCTTTTTGACATTTATCAAAATTTCAAATTTGCAAAAGAACTGTGGGATTCTCTTGAATCCAAGTACATGGCTGAAGATGCTTCTAGTAAGAAGTTTCTTATTAGTAACTTTATGGGTTACAAGATGATTGACTCCATACCTGTTATGGAACAATTACAAGAAATGTTGAGGATTCTGGGATCGTTTGCTCAACACAATTTAAAAATGGATGAAGCCATGTCTGTGGCTGTGATAATTAACAAACTGCCCCCTTCCTGGAAGGATTTTAAACATAATCTGAAACATAACAAAGAGGAATTGACTTTGACTCAACTTAGAAGCCATTTAATGATTGAAGAGTCCATAAGGACTCAAGAACTTGATATCAATCCTAAAGGCAAGAACCAAGTTCGTTCCTCTTCTGTGAATATGGTGGAAGGAGAAAGTTCAAAGAATCCCAAGAAGTCTAATGGAAAAAGGAAGTTTAAAGGAAATGATGACAAGTCTTCCAGCAAAAAGGCTAAGTTGGTTTGTTGGAATTGTAACAAACCGGGTCACTTCAAGAAAGATTGTCGTCTTCACAAAGTGAACAAGGATGGTGCTGGACCAAGTGGATCCAAGGATCCAGAAAAGCAACAAGGTCAGATTTCTATTTTCATGCAGAATCCTAAATATATTCAGAATTATATTTCTGTGATTTCTGAAGCATTTTATGTGCAGGATGATAAAGTTGCATGGTGGGTTGATTCGGGAGCAACAAGTCATGTTTGCAAAGATCTATATTGGTTCAAGAACTTTCAACCAATTGAAGATGGATCTATTGTGAAGATGGGAAATGTTGCAATTGAACCAATCAAGGGCATATGATCTGTTTTACTTACTTTTACTTCTGGGAAATGTTTGTGTTTGAACAATGTTTTATATGTTCCAGGGATTCGTAAGAATCTCGTATCTGAAATTGTATTAAATAATTGTGGTTACAAACAAGTCTTAGAAAGTGATAAGTATATCTTGTCAAGACATGGTTCTTTTATGGGATTTGGATATATATGTAATGGAATGATTAGGCTTAATATTAATTATCCTTCTAGTGATAATTCTATATGCATGGCTTCTAGTAGTAGTAACAATAATTTTCATAAATCTGAATTATGGCATGCTAGATTAGGACACATTCATTACAAGAGATTAAAAGACATGTCTAAAATGAGTTCAATTCCTACTTTTGATATGAAAAATAATGAAAAATGCAAAACATGCATGCTAACTAAAATCACTAGAAAACCTTTCAAAGATGTTGTTAGGGAAAGCAAGGTGTTGGATCTTATACATAGTGATTTATGTGATTTCCATGCAACACCTTCCCTTGGAAACAAGAAGTATATTGTTACTTTTATTGATGATGCATCTAGATATTGTTATATCTATTTGCTACATTCTAAGGATGAAGCACTTGATAAATTTAAAATTTATAAACAACAAGTTAAGCTTCATAAAAATGAATTAATAAAAGTATTGCGTACTGATAGAGGTGGTGAGTATTATGATCCAAATTATTTTGAATCAACTTGAATAATACATCAAACCACAGCTCCATATACACCACAACAAAATGGTGTAGCTGAAAGGAAGAATGGGACTTTGAAAGAAATGGTAAATTCCATGTTGTCATATTCTGGTTTAAGTGAAGGGTTTTAGGGTGAGGCAATGTTAACTGCATGTCACATCTTGAATAGAACTCCAAATAAAAGGAGTAAAAATACTCCTTATGAACTTTGGTGTAAAAAGGTACCAAATTTGAGTTATCTCAAAGTTTAGGGTTGTAGAGCAGTTGTAAGGCTCGCTGAACCCAAAAGGAAAACATTGGGTGAGAGAGGTATAGATTGTATCTTTATTGGATATGCTGAGCATTCCAAAGCATATAGATTCTATGTTTTAGAATCTAATGACTCTGTGTCTGTAAACACAGTAATAGAGTCAAGAGATGTTATCTTTGATGAAGAAAGATTTACATCTATACCTAGACCAAGGAACATGATTCATCAATCTTCCAGCAAGAGTACTACTCAAGCTGAAGATGTTTTTGGTGGTGCAAGTTCTATACCTGAACTTAGGAAAAGCACCAGAGCTAGAAAAGCTAAGTCTTTTGGATCTGATTTTCAACTATATTTAGTTGAAGGAACAAGGAATGAGACTATTTCTCAACATCAATATTGTTTTAATATTGAAGAGGATCCAAAGACTTTTAGTGAAGCTATGGCTTCTAGGGATGTCCATTTCTGGAAAGAGGCAATTCATGATGAGATTGATTCTATAATGCATAACAATACTTGGGTTTTGACTGATTTACCTCCTAGTTGCAAGGCATTAGGATGTAAATGGACCCTCAAAAGAAAAATGAAAGTGGATGACACAATTGATAAGTATAAAGCCAGATTAGTTATCCAAGGCTTTAGATAAAAGGAAGGCGTTGATTTCTTTGATACTTATGCTCCTGTTGCTAGAACTTCTACTATTAGATTATTATTAGCTCTTGCAGCTATACATAATCTTGTGATTCACCAAATGGATGTGAAAACTGCATTCTTGAATGGTGACTTGG